ATATTACCATTTTTTTGTATAACCCTTATTAAGTAGTTGTTAAAGTACTCTTTCCGTGTTTGCAACATTTGATTTCGTCTGGTTACTAGATCTCCATTGTCATTCTTGATGATGTTTTTGGTTCTAGGTCTAAAGCCTTTTTTTCTTGTTATTAATTGTCTAATATAAAATTTTCTGGTATCATTCCTTCCATCGATTTCCAGCTCCTGCAACTCCTGATCTTGTTCTCTTTCCTTCTTAGTAGTTTATTAGCATTTCTTCTTCGTTGTCTGAATTTACTGTTATTGTGTTCAGTAGGATTCTGCATCGTTACTAGTGTTGCATTATTTCTCTCCTTAAGTAGCCTCTCACATTCCGGATCGTACCAGCGGTTTCTATTTTTGTTTCTTGGCTTTACTCCCACATTCAGTCTTGCTGCCCCTATGATTGCTTCGGATAGTACTTTCCAACTTGTTTCGATGTCATCTGTATTAGTAATTTCTTGGCTTCAGCGCTCTATTTCCGCCTGGAAACGCCTTCTGATTTTTTCGTTCTCCCTTTTTGCTGTATCCCACTGTTGAGCTTGTTTGGATTGTAAATTTTTTGAGCTTGATATTCTGATTCTCAGCGTTGTTCTAACACAAAAATGGTCTAAGTGGTCTCTTTATGGAAATCTTTATGTTCATACGTTGTAGATTTAATAAGGAGGTTGTTGGATGTTGCTAGTTCCGCAAGTCTAGTCTGCATTATCAATTTTTGAGAATACGTGTAGGCCTCTTGTACACACGTGGGGCCTTAATACCGCTTCGCTTCCTAGCTTTGCATTAAAATCTTCCAAAATAAGTTTCATATCCTGTTCAGGTAGTGGCTTATTTTACTCTCCAGGGTGTCGTAGAACTCGTCTTGCACTGCTTCATCTTTGACTTCAATTGGTGCGTGTACAAACCGTATGGAGTAGTTATAGAATGTTCCTTTCATCCTTAGGTAGCATAGTCATTCATTCGAATTTTAGAACTCAGCCGAGCAGGTTTTTTTTAATTGCAAAGCCGGTACCTTCTCTATGACACAACCGAGGACTCAACTGATAAATGTCCAATATAGATTTCAAAAATAGGGTAGTGGACAATTTTTCGAAATATTTTTTTTATTATTCTCCATAACAAAATAAATAGTAATTGATGATTCTTTGATTTTAGAAAACAAAAATAAACCTTAAAAAAAATTAACAAATTTGTACTTATTTTAAACGCTATAATTTACCGCCCGGAAATTACGTCATAGCTGTTGTGTCGACGCGGTCTACGCGTCCTTATATTTTACATGCTTTCAGCAAAAGATGCAGATAAACTCAGACTGTTCTGATTGACAAATGAAACTCTCTCAAACAGTGTGGTTAAGTTGAGGGTGCACCAAGGTGATGACGCTGATATATCTCTCTTTTTTGCACCAATGAGTAAGTGTGTGTCGAATATAATAGTCCAAGAGCCCAGAGCCGCCAGACACAACTTATTTTCTAAAGGACAGAATATGTGTGATTGAGTAGTACTTATAAGTACTATGAACGTATGTATACCCGCTAAGTTGGCTAGACGGCCATTTTGTTGACACCAGGTGCGAAAGGTGAGAAAAAATTAGACTAACTTAACTTAAATTCTAACGGTTAATTTTTATATATGTTTTATATAAAATTAATACAAATCAATATTTAACACTGCCAGACACCTCCCGTCGGCCAGAGCTTCCGCCAGACGCTTTAAAGCTCGCAAAAAAATAATTCAATTTAACTTTTTTTCTAAAGCTTGATTTTTATATATTTTATTGGGGGGACTATTTCATAACTACGTGTGATCAGCCAGACCTATCGCACCGGCCAAACGTCCCCCCAGACGCAATAATATTTTTTCCGAGAGTGTGAGCGTCAGGGAACTATGCACGCGTTTGAGAGTGAGCGAGATATCTATGTCAATTGATTTCCCCCTCCTAAGCTTACAGTCTAATCCAGGCAGGCTAGAGTAGAGATGGGAAAAACCGTTATTTACAAATAACAGTTACAGCTGCTACTGTTATTTTCAAATCATGGCTTAAAATAGCAGGTTGTCGACGTTGTCGTTATTTTTTATTTCTCGTGGTTGCAGTATATATTCCAATTGGTAAACAGGGTTGCAGTTGAACAGTTATCGGTAATGATGAATATGAATTTGAATTTAGGCAGCGCACAGCTGTTATCTCAAATGCAATGCGGCATCGAACGACGACCAGAATGTCGGTGACGTGAGTAGGTAAACCTTTTGTATTTTAGCGTTATTTTTCACGTGTAATTTTTGCACTGAAACAACAGTTGCAACCGTTATTTCCAAATAACAGCTTGAAAATAACAACACATCTCTTGGCTAGAGGTGTACGATAATGCAAAATTTTGACTATCGATAATTTCGGCACTGCCACTTCGCGCTATCGATACGAGATATACGATCGGTGCCAGGATAAAAAACGCACCTGTACGTGAGACTAGGCTGCGTGACGTCAGTAGCCAGATACGCCACGTTAATTCGTATACTCTCCGTATAGGCCTTTACGCAAACGCTGATCCGATTAACCCAATCACCACCTTATGTAATTTGTCTTTTTTCAATCGTGTTCATTGAAGAAGAAGATGAAAGACAAACAGCTTGTGATCGGATCAGCTTTTCCATAAAGGCCTATACGATACGGAAAGTATACAAATTCACATAGCCTGTCTGGCTACTGACGTCACGCGGCCTAGTCTCGCGTACAGGTACGTTTTTTATCCTGCCGTGATCGTTGATTTTAAACTGCTCGCAACAAACACAAATATTAATATTTTGCGCACAATTTTTTTTAAATCGTTTTTCAATAATATATTCTCTCGATTTCAGTTAAAATAAAAAAATGTCGAACCTGCCTATTAACAACAATATTGAAATAGCATAACAACAGAAAACCGACTTGTATATAGGCAATCCAAACCACGTGACATTCAAGATGGCGTGGCGGTCACACATGGACCAAAAAAACACAAAAAAATATCTAGCTTCTGTCCGACTTGATAGTTTACGTACCTAGTAAACAAATATTGTATTGAATAATCAAAATCAAAGCTGCAAGCAAAACTCGAAGCAAAATAATTCAAATATGCATGAAAACACATATTCAAAACTAACTGGCTGGCCGCCACGCCATATTGAATTTTTCGCTTTGACAGATGGATTCGATTGCCTAATAGGCTGACAGAATGCGTGACAGTTGACAGTGCGTAGTGTGCGTAGCAAAGAGCATAGCAGTTTTGCCGGTCGCGTTTTTGTGATTAAAATAAAAAAAATTGCAGTGTGAAAATATGGCAGAATTATTGCATTGTGTGTTTTGTGAGAAGTCTGATGAGAACTTAACATCTTTCACGGAAGAGACATTAAAAAAGTGTCGAACAATTTTAACACAGAGAAAATTACATAACTTAAAATACCAAAACGTGGTTCTGCCAGCTGAATTATTTAAAAGTGACTACCATAGACAGTGCTATAAGTCGTTCACAGGTTTGATGAAGAAATATTACTTGCCCAAATCGACAACTTCAAAAATATCTACACCAGAGGAAGAGTCGCGAAACATCACAGAGGAAGTATCTACATCTACAGCATCAGGGGCGGATGGGCAACTTTGAATCGGCCCGGGACGATTTTTGCTCAAGCGGCCCCGCGCGGGCTCTCAGGTGAATAACGCTGGACTCGCTGGAGGCAAAGATAGCCAAACATGTTTCCTTCGCAAAAGATTGTCTAAAAATAGGATATTGAATAATCTTCATTTTTATTTTTAAAAAAAACCTACTTATATAGGTCTATGTTCATTTTTCGAAAACAAAAAGTTCGTTGTTTTTTTCTCGAATGCTTTCATTTCAAAAATCAACCATTTGGAAAATATTGACTTTGAATAACTTCTTCCGAAAATCACTAATTTTGAACCATGCCCAACCCCAAACACCGAGTTATTTTCGGTAAGTTTGGTAATGTCTGATTAAAGTTGCACACACTAACCCAAACTAATCAGGTTATCATCGGTAACTTTAGAAATATCTAATTAAAATTGGAAACTAACTCAAACTAACCGGGTTACTCTCGGTAAGTTTGAGTTTGGTAATGTTTGATTACAATAAATTGCAAACTAACACAAATTTTGAAAACCTAATGGTTATGTTCGGTTAAAATTGCAAACTTACCCAAACTAACCGGGTTATTATCAGTAAGTTTGGTAATTCCTGATTGAAAGTGCAAACTAACCCGGGTTCCGGGTTATTATCGGTAAGTTTAGTGATGTTTGATTACAATTACAAACTAACCCAAACTTACCGGGTTAGTATTGGTAGGTTTAGAAATATCTTTTTAAAATTGCAAACTAACCGGGTTATTATCGGTAGAGTCTGATTACAATTGCAAACTAACACAAACTAACCGGGTTATTATTGGTAAGTTTGATTAAAATGTCGAACTTACCGAGTTATTTTACTTATTATCGGTTTGGCAGTGTCCTCGGTAATGTCTGATTAAACAGAAAAAGTTTAAGTTTACAGAGAAAGTGTAAATTTTAATAAAACTCATTTTCCAATATGAGATGGCAGCTCTAGTTCTACGCCTTGTGATTTGTGAAAACCAGTAACAAACAAAAATCGCTTTCTGTTGAATTGGCAGAGCGTTGTCGCGTTACGCTTTGAGTGATTGTTTTTTCTATCAAGTTGCGGCGCATTGTAATTGTTATTATATTTTATTTTTTGTCCGCCCCTGTACAGCATCAACATCAATATGTATCGAGCCAAAATCATCAACTACTTCACAATCTTTGAGTCCAATAATTTCTATACCTGAGTCTTGTAATACTTGAGCCAACGGTTATACCGGAGTTGGTTGAACCGGTTCTATCAAATAGTGGAAAGTATAGTGTGCAGATGGAACGTGTTGATTTCCCCTCTGAAAGTAACATTTTATTTGAAAATAATGTAAGTATGGACGAAAATGAAGCCTGTATATTTTGTCATCAAAAAACAAAAAAAGCATCGATCCAAAAGATTACCTTTACATGTTTCCAATAAAAAGGATGAAAATGAGGAAAATTTCACGGTGTTGATTGAGCAAGTTAAAAAATACGATAATTCAAAAATACATTATCATAGAAATTGTCTATTAGATCACTTTTATAAAGTATCCCCGAAACGCGAAACAAGTGAAACTCACTGGCATGAGGTTCGTCAGCATCATCAAGCTGCTTTTGATGAAATGTGTGCTTTTATTAAAGAAAATATAATACAAAAAGGACGATGCTATTTTTTGACATATCTTCATAGATATTACATGGAGTTATTTGGAGAAAAGGTTGAAAATTCAGACGAAATTATTGGAAATTTTACGCCACAGAAATTAGAGAGTAAAATAGTTAAATCATTTGATAAAGAAATGAAATTTCTTATAGTTCAAAATAAAAAGTTATTAGCTCCAAAACATTTAACAGCTATTGACAACCAATCATTTGAACAATTAAAGGAGGAAGACATTTTGTTACCAAACGATATATCAGTACGGGACTTACAGGAAGGAGAAGTGTCAGTGCCACAAGAATTATCAGTTTTATTCTACTTTAATAGCCGGTAGTTACCGCAAACGTAAAAACAATTCGAAATGTGTCCGTCAAGTAACATCTTTTTGTGAAGAAATCGTATATAGTATACATAACGGGAAATTCAAAACGTCGAAGCATATCAAGCTCGGAATGGCTCTAAAGAGCCTTACTAGTAGCAAAGACAACTAGTAGTCGTAAAATAATTGATATCATTCACAGATATGGACATTGTATTAGTTACTCAGGAGTTGAAGAATTGGAGACAGAAGTAACATATACGTCAATACAAAAATCAAGTTTATGTCCTGATACTATTAAAAAAACACCAAATTTCTGCACCGGTCTAGCTTTTGATAATTTTGACCGGTTTGTTGAAACTAAGAGTGGTAAGGATACTTTACACGATACGGTCGGGATAATCTATCAGAATGCTGACTTAAATACTTCAGATGAACCCGAAGTCCTAGATTTGCCCTCTGATAATAGCCATGAAATCTCGAACTCCAGAAAGAGGAGACGGAGAGCATTTGAGGGTATAGTCAACCATCCAAGGACCTTTTTTTTCAGTTATACATGTAAACCCCATACTTTGTGAGTGGCTTGCTTACAGTCCTACAACTTTTCCTCTACGACTTTTCTCGGAAATGGCACGTATGCGCGCAGGCGACTCGCAAACATTTTAGGGGTATCGGACTCCCCCAATTTGCCATTATTTTTGTCGGCCAAGTTGATTTCCGTGATTTAGAAATAAAAATCAAACATTATTCGTGAAATTAGATTTTCATGTATCAAGAAACATAACCACGTCAGATCGACATTTTGGGGGTATCGGACTCCCCCAATTTGCCATTATTTTTGTCGGCCAAGTTGATTTCCGTGATTTAGACATAAAAATCAAACAGTATTCGTAAAATTAGATTTTCCTACATGTATCAGGAAACATAGCTACGTCAGATCGACATGTTTGCGAGTCGCCTGCGCGCATACGTGCCATTTCCGAGAAAAGTCGTAGAGGAAAAGTTGTAGGACTTGATGTAAGCAAGCCACTCACAAAGTATGGGGTTTACATGTATAACTGAAAAAAAAGGTCCTTGGATGGTTGACTGTCTGTGGAGGAAGAACCATATCCAAAACAACCGAAGATGACAGATGATCTACAAATTTCAATTCATGAAAACCACAGTACTGAGCCTGCAAATTTGGAATTATATAATAGCATCGATACAATTTGGATGCTATGTCATGCTCTAGAGTTACAAAATGTCCCCATGTGGGTTGGATACAATTGTTTGATAAGTGACGATAATAATACAAAACAAATAGTTTCTTATCTCACTCCGATAAATTCATCACCTACCAGCCCACCAGTAGTTTTGGAAACGATGAAGCAGAGTCAAAAAATTTGTCTAGAAGTTCAACAATCTTCCATCCAAGTTACGTACGATCTTGCAATTGCAAAAGTAGCCTTACAAATTCAAGCCACTGAAGCACCAAAGTTTGACAATTTATTTATACATTTGGGGCCGTTTCATATCATGATGTCCTATTTTAAAGCTATAGGAAAATTCATAGTAGATTGTGGCTTATCCAACATCATGGTGCAAAGTAATTTGCTAGCTCCTGGGTCAGTTGGCGGATTTCTCGAAGGAAAACACTTCAATAGATGCAAAAGGCTTCACCCTTTAATGGCAGTGGGACTGGAAATTTTACATTTTAAATCGTTTTTGAACATGAATGATGCAGTGGTGATGGATACAATGATCGAAGAAATTACACGGCTTCAAAATACTCCAATATCATCATTTAAAGTGGAAGATGAAGAACTAAATGAACTATTGAACAACTATAATATTTACAAGCAGGAAACATTAAACGGCGAGTACGGTAAAACACCACAGTTTTATTTAATATATACCAACCTTGTTCATCATTATTTGACTTTATCAAGAAGCATCCGTACAGGAGAATTTGAACTGTTCAAATTTGTACTACCGAAAATCACAAATCTATTTTTCATATGCAATCAACCGAATTATGCTCGCTGGACAGTTCGATATTCTGCGAATTTGTTGAATGTTGCCGAAACTCACCCAGATCTGTTTGAAGAATTTCAAGGAGGTTTTTTCGGTATTCAAAGAACTAATAAGTCTTTTTCGAAACAGCCCATTGATTTAGTCGTGGAACAGACGATAAATGCAGATGCAGCCAGAAGACTAACAGGCGTAATCCAGTTCACCAACTCCATCTCTGCACGTCAACGATGGGCACGAAGTCATGACATACGGTCAACTATAATTAATTCAGTTTATAAAGATTTAGATTTGCATAAAGAACAAGATGTTGCAGCCGAACTAACACATCATACCATCTCAAATAATAACAAACAGTTGCGGAATTTCATCCATACTTTCGATTTATTTATTAATCCATTTGACCCCGGAGTATCAAAAGATCTTCTAATAAATATTTCATCTGGTAAAGCAGCGTCAGAGCCGGTCGAAAAATTTCTCTTGAACATTGAAAATAATGGTGACGCTAAACGCAAAACGTTTATTGCAGAAGGTGAAGCAGATATTGGTAGGTTCGAGAAGAGTATAAAAAAAACACCTCTGGAAAATTTCACCATAGACTACACAAAAATAGGTGGTAAAGTTCAGGAAATACAAATTCAACGAGATTTATTTGGGCGTATGTTTGGCATATCTATGGACCATAAAGTCGATATGGCCAAGATTTTATCATATCCAATTACTCCAGTGCCATTATCCATGTGCCATTTTGATGGCGCCATCTGTAAAACTCAAAAGTCCATCTTAATGAAATTATTAGAAAAAGACGTTGAGCACAATCCACCTCCTCAAATACATATTTTAATTATTGATGGTTTTTTCCTACTTCACACGATGAAAAATATCCCTAAAACCTTTGGGAATATTTCAAGAAAGATGTTTCAAATGGTAACACAATTAAAAGCGACAAGATACGACGTCATTTTCGATCAATACTTCTCTCCGTCTATCAAAAGTTATGAAAGGTCTCTTCGAGAGTCTACGCAATTGGATTTCAACATTACTGGACCAGATCAAGTCCGACCGTTGGATTTTGTGAAGGAATTGAAAAATATACGTTTCAAAGAGGCCCTTATTAACTTTTTCATTCAACACTGGGCTACCGATGAAATGGTACCACTTATTGGTAATAGACAGGTTTTTATTAATTTCAAGAAATGTCATTCTTACTTCGTTCGTGATAATACAGTTGTAGCTGGTGTAGATGACAATTTATCATGTCCAGAGCATGAAGAAGCGGATACCAAAATTGTTTATCACGTTTGTAATGTTGATGCTCAGGCAAATTTTGTAATTAGGTGTTCTGACACTGATATTGCAGTAATAATGTTGGGCAATATGCATCATTTGAAAAATCACAATTCACACGTGTGGATATTCACAGGCACCGGAAATAAGCAAAGATATGTGGATTTAACCAAAATTTTTGAGCACATTGAACCTTCGTTGTGCAGAAGTTTATCAGGATTTCATGCTCTCACTGGATGTGATCATAATCCTGCTTTCTTCAAGAAAGGAAAACAAAGGCCATTTATTATTCTGAAAAAAAAAACGAGTATCAAGAAGCGTTTATGAAATTCGGCGATTTGAAGTCATTCACTGATCATGACATACAGCAAGATATGTTCAACACGATTCAAAAGTTCATTTGCGATGTCTACAATGTGAATGAAATAATTGACGTTGACGCTGCCCGGCTTCAGCTCTTCATAAATAGTTACACCGTTTCGAGTGTAAATGAAGAATTTCACCGTAAGAACATAAAAAACTTCGAAGCTAGTAATTTACCACCTTGCAAAAGTGAACTTCTTCAGCAATTCCGTCGAGCAAATTACATTGCAAGTATTTGGAATAATGCTAATACAAAACTACCCAGCATTTTCACTCCTGAGAACAATGGGTGGACATTAAAAGAGAACCAATATCATTTTAACTGGTTCGATGGTGATCAATTACCAGCCTTTGTCAGTGAATCACTCCAGGAAGATACAGGTATTTCACTTTGACCTGAAATATTCATTTCTTGATATTTTCAGCTATTTGCATTTTAATTCATTCATTTATTTTCACAGAGAAAGCTGCTAGTGTTGATAATGGTGATGATGATGATGATTGGAACGTCAAATACCAACATTGGCTCGACGATGAAAATTCCAATAACACTGTCGATGATGACTATGAGGATTGAGAGAGACACGAACATACATATTTATTGATGAATAATTAATAACGGATTTATAATTTTTCAAATTATGTCAATATTTTTTTCTTGTTGTCGCAATATATTTTCATTTGATAAAATTAACAATTCAATTACTATTAAGGATTTTCATTTATATCAGTCGCCGTTTAAATTCTCTAAATCTAATTTCGCATGGGTATCTCGCTCACTCTCAAACGCATGCATAGTACCTACCAGTGTTGCCACAGGTGGCCCCATATGGCCAGATCTGGCCCTTTCTAAGACGGAGTGGCCCGTTGGCCACTCTTTTTCGAATCTGGCCCGTTTCTCCATAACAAGCCAAATCATTATTTTTTTATGCAAAATAAACGTTTTTAGGCGTGGCACCCGAAAAAAATTTGTGCCTCCGGCGGCGAGCTTTCTCTCTTGTTTTTAAGGTGGGTTTATACAGCCACATAATATAACATAACATAAGATAAAAAGTTGACCTTATGGATACCCCTTATGGCGTTTATACAGAAAATAACAACATAACATAAGAAAATTGGTTAACTTTTATGTCTTATTTTATGTGAAAACGGATCTGCGCATGCTCCTCCCTTGATGTCGGCAATGGCAGAGTAGTAAACAAAACATTCCAACCAAAAAAAAATATATTTTGATTTTGTTTGCAGCTATTGGTAATTTTTTGGAATTTGATATTTATTTTCTGTTTCTGCTAAATTATTAATTTATAATTTTTTTGATCAAAATATTGTGTTTTCGGTAGAGTTTACACGTAACAGCTGATTGGTTAGAAATTATTTCTTATGTTATGTTATTTTCTGTATAAACGCCACAAAATTCTTATTTATTATATTATGTTAAGAAATAAGATAAAATAAGACATAATGTTATGTGCTATATAAACTAGGGCTCGGAATTGTATTCGAATAATTCGAATATTCGACTATTCTAAATTCGACTATTCGAATATTCGACTATTTGAATATTGGACTATTTATTCCGTCTGCTATGCCATGAACACTTTCCCTTATAATAATTATAAATATTATTATTCAATAATTAAAATATTTTAAATGACTACTACCAGAACTACCTGCCAGCCCACTTAAAAAAAACCCTATACATTACAAATTTGAATAAAATAATGATTAGAGTTTCAATAGTTACCTAAACGACTATTCCGGCTACCGGTATTTAATTAAAAACTAGCTGACCCGGCGAACTTCGTACCTCCTCTGAATTATTAAATACCTATTAAATGTTGTGTTAACGTATCTATTAACTGAATTAAATTCAGTTTTTTTCGATGGTGAATTTGGCTTTGGTCGAAGAAAATTAATTTTTACTCTCTGGATCAGAAGTCACCTAAAATTAAAATTTTACATCATAGCTTTTTAGGCATCTTGTGGGCATTATTCTTATAAAGTGCATCACCAAATAAATAAACTCAGGCACAGGAATGTTCAAAAAATGTAAAGAAAACAAAAAAAATCTCCAGCGCAGCCCTGTTTCATTTTATCTGCACTGTATGCACTGCAATACTCCATCTGTTCTACTGTATCTGCACTATTCTATCTGATCTACTCTTTCTGCACCACTTTATCTGATCGGAATAGTGGAATAGTTCTGTTCAGAATAGCTCCAGTTCCTTAGCAGTATTCTGTTCTACTGTATCTGCAATGAAATTACCGCGCAACGGCGAGCTTCGTTCTAGGTACCTATCATATATGGCGCCGTATACAAAATGGTTGTGGCGGACTCATAAACTGCCACTCGACACCAGCCGGACGGAGCACTCCGAACAGTCGGCACGGAACACGGCTGTCAAGGGATGCCTAAGAGGAGAAACGGAATTTAGCCACAGAACGTCAATGGTCAAGCGTCAAGAAATGACAGGTAGACCAGTTCGCGCTCTTTCGGAATGAACGAACCAACAACAAAATAAAATGCACAATTAAAACATTGTCATTCTATTTATTTTTGGACATTTTTACTGTGAAGAACAATTAAAAATAAAGTGCTTTCCTCAAATTGTTTTTGTGCAAAGTGTGTGACAATAAAATCCACATGGTTTGCAATGAAAATGTGACGGTAAACTTGGTATCGGTTATAAGAGATGGCGCCGTATGTGGGCTTAGTGAGTTTTTTTCATAAATAAGTAAAATAGATAAATTTTTGTTTTGTTTTTTTTTTTTGGATATTTTCGATTTATTATCCTAGGATGGACAAAGACAAATCCAATAAAGCAAAAATCATAAAAATCAGTCCAGCCGTTCTCGAGTTATAAGTGCTCAAATACCAACACAACTGTGTTTTATATATATAGATAGACCACTAGTACTAACAGTACGCCTAAGTACAAACTAACTAATATAAATAATTATCGGAATATTTGACTATTGGAATATTAGACTATTCGAATATTCGACTTTTTGACTACATATTCGAATATTCGACAATTCCAATATTCGCCTATTCGAATATTCGACTATTCGAATATTCGACTATTCGAATATTCGAATATTCGAATTATTCAGCTATTCGAATAAAATACCAAACGACTATTCGAATACTTGAAATTTAAAAATTCCGAGCCCTAGTATAAACCCACTTTTGATTTGAAAACAGTTTGCCCGAAAATCTGAAATCTGGCCCCTTTTAAATTCATAGTCTGGCACGAAATTTTCAGACCCTGTGGTAACACTGGTACCTACCCTCGCGCTCACACTAACGGAAAAATTATTATTGCGTCTGGAGGGATGTTTGGCCGATGCGATTGGTCTGGCTGATCACATGTAGTTATGAAATAGTCTCCCCAATAACATAATTATATAAAAATCAAACTTTAGAAAAAAAGTTAAATTGAATTATTTTTTTGCGAGCTTTAAAGCGTCTGGCGGAAGCTCTGGCCGACGGGAGGTGTCTGGCAGTGTTAAATATTGATTTGTACTAATTTTATATAAAACATATATGAAAATTAACCGCTAGAATTTAAGTTAAGTTAGTCTACTTTTTTCTCACCTTTCGCACCTGGTGTCAATAAAATGGCCGTCTAGCCAACTTAGCGGGAATACATACGTTCATAGTACATATAAGTACTACTCAATCACCCATATTCTGTCCTTTAGAAAATAAGTTGTGTCTGGCGGCTCTGGGCTCTTGGACTATAAGACGAAGGTTTGATTCACTTCATACTCGAATATAACAGCTATGAGGTAAAATCAAGGCGCGAAATATTTTCGGAAATAATACCACGAGAGCTTCAAAATTACCGATAATTTTTCACGATTGAGTGTTTTCTATAATTTTACGAGTCCGTAGGACGCGTGAAATTTGCAGAGAAAACACGCATGAGTGAAAAATTATCTGGTTCATTTTAAAGCTCAAGTGGTATTTAGAGGATTATTTCACGTATGAAAATGCAAAAAATATGGAAATAAATATGTATTAAACGATTTGAACATCTTAACAATCAATACAAATAAATGGTTGCTATCAGGAACCGTTTGTTTGTATCAAAAATTAGCATGACAACCATGTATACAATAACATGGGAGAATTATCGCTGTAATTTTCTCTAGTTAAACAAATGGAAAAGAGAATTTTCGCTGTAATTCTGAAAATCGTCACTTGTCTTATGGGATTTCTAACACATGAGTGGAATAATCGTTTAAATAGTGTGTCCCAAAACTCTACTTTTACAACCGTTTTAAACAAAGTTAGTAATTTTTTCTGAAATTTCTTTTAATACGAATATTTTTTATTTACTTCATAGATGAAGAATAGATCATCGATTTCATTAAATTCATACCTTGTCCACTACCCTATTATGCTGATAATCGGGAAGTTTTATCCTATATTTTTCACTATTTAAACTAAAAAGGGAAGATACTACATATTATGTAAACCATACGCGATTTCTTTTTGAGGATATAATAATACAGGGTGATCAGTTGTAATATGCAATGCTAGGAAAATGAAAGAAATATCTAACCTGTTCATAACTGAGACCACAAGTTGATTTGTAGCTTGTTCATCCCGATGCAAGGAAACTGATTGGTAGGAACTATCGAAATGATAAAACTTTATACGATTGGGATTCAAACAGAGATTAATGCAAGCATTAATTGTCTTCCTTGTGCCATTCTAAAATAAAAAAAGGAGCTTTTAAAATAAAAAAGTCGTTTCTGCTGTATGTTAATCTTACCATCATAACATTGAAAGATCCTTTACTCGTAATGAACCATTCGGTTTTCCAGTATGTTAGGATTTCCAGATAATAAATCAAAAGCTGACTCAACAAGTCTAAAGCTTTTAAATCCACTGAGTATTCTGGGATATTTATCACATGATTTATGATACTTTCATATAGAGAAAGGAAAGAATAGCACGTATTAAGAGCTTGATTTTGAAATTTTCTTACAAACAATATGTTAAATTTTATTATTAAATGGAATATACACCAGCCTTCTTGAAGATCCGAAATATTTGTCTAAAAAATAAGCGATACATCATTGTTAATAAAAAATATTCATAAAGGGTGAAGTATGACTATAAAAACATGTAATTATTACTAGTAAGTGGAAACAATTTTCTAATTCAAGTTGGATAGTAAGTACGTTTGCTAGTTCTTAAATAAATATTAAAATATTTAAGAAACAGAACACGTTTTTGAGAAAAGTCAAGAGAAAATTTATTGAGTTGCTCCAAATATGAGGTATTATGTAATAAGTAGATAAAATATTCCACTGTAGTGGTTGTTAATAATGGGACAGTTATAGTTTTGCTGCATAAAATTATGAAATTATCTTACCTTATTCAATGGTAGAAACAGCAAAGATTTCACCACAGGTTCAAGTTTATCGAAACAATTTACCATATCCATCTTGAAGAAATCCAAAGCCAATGGTGATTCCATATATAAATTCAAACTAAGTAATGACATTTTTGCACATGGCCAAGAGATTTTGTGCCGTAATAGTTCACATAAGCAGTGTATTGTTTTATCTAAATATTCCCTATTTCCAAACCATATCTTAAGGTCTTCGCAATTTTCAAAAGTTAATAGTGAGTTTGTTAAAACTATAATCAAACTCCAGGGACCCAGTTGTTCTTTAGCTGTTACTTCATTGGCTTTTAGCTTTGCATAAACAACATCCACTAAAATGTAATACTCATCGTCTATTAGAGGTGCTAGTTCTTCAAGTAATTGTAATAGTTCTGCTGAATGTGTTTCATAGTATGATTTTAATCCTTTAAGGTTTTTAACGATAATGGTTAAAACAATCATTTTCTCTTTCAAAGATAAATCTTTGTAATATTTCTGTATAATTTTGATATACTGAATAACCTTACAAGCTAATTCGTCCACTCTTTGTTCGAATTTCAGTCCAAACATATCAACAACTATTAAGGTTAAGTCCAACCAGACGCCAAGTATGTTACTGTGTATTACCTCGTTCAAAATACCATCAAATACAAGTTCAATAAACAGATACTGGGATTCACTGGTGGGAAAATATGCTTCCTTAGTATGTTTTTGCACAACAATAAGAAGTTCTGTCCATGATTTTATTAACGGTACTCTTTCGTTCACATAGTGTGGCTGTAGTTCTTGATTAGAAAATATTTTGAAAATATACTGTTGAAATAATCGAAGCTGTTTTTGGTCCGATAAAAACTTTGTAATAATTTGAAAGAACTCATCGTCCTTAGTCATTTTTGACACTGCACACTGGATGCTTAGGATTTTGAAAATACACGCATAAACCGTTGGATCTAGTTCGAAATTTGTGAATAAAGGATAGGCAATTAGGCTCCAAAAATCGTTGGATTTGGTTACATCTTTTATCAGATGCTGTTTTTGACATTGCCAAAGATTCGCCATTAATTTCAACATTCCCACTTGAAGAGGACTCGTCAAATATTCCACGGACTACAACAATTTATTCAATGAATATGTAATAAGCTAAATCGTATAAGCATGTACCTTTCTAACGTTCCTCAAATAATCCATAATGAAATCACTAACAGCTTCACCTTCTATTATCTTTGCATGAGGATTGTACCATTTCTTAGTAGATTGCACATTGAAAAAAGCAGCCGTCATTCCGTGTTGATGAAAAATGCAGGTACTAATAAGATCTACAATAGTAACTTTAACTGTTTCATCTTCCAATGGATCTCTTAATCGTTGGAGGAACAAGGTTTGGATTTGGTCATAATCCAAATTAAGGCACGACATAAGTGAGATTTCGCTGTTCTAAAATGTGTAACAATAAATTAATTAATGATACTTACATTTTTAAAGGAAATGGTAACATTAACATTGATACTTGTAAAAAAGGAATTTAACAAAAAGACTTAGATATTTGAACTTTTCGTCATATGGATTCGCTCTCAAGTTGCAGATTGTCCACAAATTTTATTTTGTTAAAGTTAATTTTCAGGCCTAGTTGTTGACTTGCCTCATCAAAAGTCACAAACTTGCACTGAATCAATTTTAACTTAAAAGTTAGATAACACTATGAGGAGTTTCAAAGTATTGAGGAAGCTGAAATAGCTGTCAAGGCTAAGATTGTTAAAACTCCAGACTAAACTAACAAACTTGTTTCGAGTCTCATGTATAGTATGATTTTGTTTTTGGTGATTCACAAACTGGCAGTTGCTGAATTCTATATTTGTTTTGCAAAAATCGCAGTGCGCTATTTTTATAGATCTAAAACCTTGCACACTGTCAGCCCATGTTCAAAAAAATATTGACTGTGCCATTGTTTAGGAAACTCTCAAAAGAGCTTTTTGCCTATTTTAGTTTATGTAGAGCAATCTACAAAGTTCGATTGTGCCTATATTTTTCATTAGCGACTTTTTTCGTTTATCATATGCGCACACGTCACTTGCTGGAAGCAGCTGCATTTTTGTGCTGCCTTGTCCGAGATTTTAAAAATAATATATGTTTTCGGCCGCAGAGTAGACAACACACTCTCGCTACGCGACCCGTACAAATTCGTGTCGTATCGGACGGTTCGGTCACTCTACAACGAAACTGCCCCTATTTTACTCTCCTAAGAAGCTACAGAGTACTCTGCTACAGTCAACACGCTTCAGTTTGTACAAAGAATATTATAGATTAACGTCTCTAGAAGTCTCGTCCGTATTCTGATTTTTGATACCTCGATGGACGCCGGCTTTAGCCGGTGCGGACGCTGGCTTGAGTCTATTGCCCACTGTTGCCGAGTTGTCAGTGCTGTTGATTCGGCGTCCAGCCAGCGAGCCAGCGTCCGTGTCCGCTTCTCTGAATGAAGTTATTAGAGTAAAATATTTGCTTTGCATGCATAGGGAGACAGACGCGTGCCAAGAGGAATTAGGAAGTTAAACATATATTTTCTAACATATTTTATAATTCACCAACGAATATCATAGTTGGATGCTATTCTATCATTTTCTTTAGGTTTTTTTCAGTATATTTGGCGATTTTGCCACTTAGAAATTTATGTTTAATTTCGAACAATGAATTATTTATTTATTTTCCAGTAGATCGGTTTATTTACCAACAAGTAAATTTTGGGGTCGGTCAAGTTTCCGCCCGTATTAAACAAATTTTAAAAATGAATAAACCATAATAATTTTGCACACTATGACTAAAATATTGCACACCCACACAACACAACGAAAACTAGAGCAGTTTTTTGAACTGGGGGCAAACTTGACCGTTCCCCCTTGTTTGTCTAAAACTTGAAAAATTCTTATGCTACTCGGTTCACCTAAATTTGCACAATTTCGCATGCCTATTTTCAAATTTTGCATACTTTTCTGGGGAAAGTTAACGTATGTTTTTTTTAAAGATAATTCCCCAAGTCAAAAATTCAATAACTATGTTGGCAGCACAAGCCTTTTCTACATAAAAAAATTGAAAGCATTGACAATTTTACATTGCATTGCCAACATAATGTCATTTTGACTTTTATCTTAAAAAAAAAACAATAGGCATTTTTTAGCGAGTTCCCGTTAGTTCCCGTGTTACAAGCGGTTACAGGAAATCAATAACCGATCCGTTTTTGCGAGAAAACGGTAATAGGGGAAGGTGTTTTGCTGTCATAAAGTAACGTCATCATTCTATAACACGGTTATTGTTTTTGATACCCAAGTCGAGAGTTGAGTAACTGAAAAATTCTAACCTTAGATTTATTTGTGATTGTTTTGATCTGTAAAAGTGAGTTTTTTCTGAGGTTTTTTTGTTTTTGGAGGATATCAAAAAATGGCAGATCTCGCATTATGGTCTATAAGCTGTCTCTCATGATTTTCTCGCAATATATATTTCAAGGGACCACTATGCTTGACTCGATAAAACTTGGAAATTAGAATATACAGGATGTTTCCAAACATAATATCGTCAATAAGTAATAAGGACTTAATTATTGACTCCATTTCTTTTATGTTCACCACAAAATATGAACTAACCTTACCTTACTGTAAAATTTTGATAACCGTTCCGTTTTAGCGAGAAGCGGTTTAATCCTAGAAATCTGCCAATGGTAGGGATATATTTTTGAAGTGGGAGTGTTACCGTGTATAACCGCACGGGTTATAAACGGTTATTACTGGGATCTCGCTAAAAAATGCCTTTTATGAGGCATTAAAAATTTGCACTATCCGCGCCGTTTGTCAAAAAATTGAAAAATCTTATGCTACTCGCTTTGGCTAATTCAGCACAATTTTGCGCACGTTTCTGGGGAAAGTTATAAGGCATTAAAAATTTGCACTTCCCCCCCGTTTGTCGAAAAATTGAAAGATCCTATGCTTGTCTCCCCACTCTCCCCCCTCGTTTTTCAAAAAGTTGAAAAATCCTCATGCTACTAGGTTCACCTAATTTTGCACAACTTTGTACACCTATTTTCAAATTTTGCAAAATATGCATTTTCCCGCCGGTTTTTTGAGAAAATGAAAAATTCTTATGTTACTAAATTCAGGTTGAAAATAGGCGTGCAAAATTGAGTGAACCCAGTAGCAAGAGTTTTTCAATTTTTTGACAAACAGGGGAAAACGTGCAAATTTTTAATACAACATTTAACTCCCAGAGGAATGTGTAAAATTAAAAAAAAGGTGTGCAAAATTGTGCAAAATTAGCCGAAGCGAGTAGCATAAGAATTTTTCAAGTTTCAGATAAACTGGGAAAAAAGTGCACATTTATCGCACCTCATAACTTCCCCAGAAAAGTGTGCAAATTTTGAAAATCGGTGTGCAAAATTATGGATTATTTATTTTTGAAATTTGTCTATTTGTGGAAGAAAGCAAATTTTCAAAGACGGGGTAGTCCTGACAACCTGCCCACCTCTCTACCTGTCATATTTTGACAGCTGTCAAAAATTACATTTGACAGCTGTTGAGTATTCCAAATTGTATTACCATCCGAACTTAAACTGTATGCAAAATTACAGCAAAATCTATTGCAAAGAAATGGTTCACAAATCTGCATCTGTCACATTTGACAGTTGACACCTGTCATCAGTGGTCTAAAATGTATTATTATCCGAACTTAAAGTGTATGCAAAATTTCAGCAAAATCCGTTGCGAAATAATGGTTCAAAAATCTGCACCTGTCACATTTGACAGTTGACACCTGTCATTAGTGGTCTAAAATGTATTATCACCTAATCATAGTGGGGGATTCTCATCCTCTAGTCGCAACCTATCGTCCCGACTATCCCATTGCCTTTCTACGGGTGAATCGGGACGATAGGTTGCGACTAGAGGATGAGAATCGCCCCCCTAAACTTGAAGTGTATGCTAAATTTTAGCAAAATCCGTTGTGAAGATATGGTTCAAAACCTGCAACTGTCTCAATTTGACAGTTGACACCTGTCATTAGCGGTCTAAAACCTTCTTATCATTATTGCCTTTCATATTAAACATTAAACTGGTTTGAGGCACGTTGGCGCTTTGATAAAGGACGACAGGACGCCCTACTCAAAGCCAAGCAACGCGATGTCGGGTTGGAGATTGGATGGGTGACCGCAGTAGTACGGGACGGTGGGTCGACCGCGCTGCCGCCAATCATCTGATCTGCAAGTATGAATGCGAAGTATGAATGAGAAGGAGTAGAGCCCATACGATGACATACAAAAAGCCTATAAAGGCTGCAGTGTAGAGTATGGGCTCGAAAGGGTGAAATAAAAATCTAAAAAAAAATCTGAGGCACATCGGTCGGATAGTTTCAAAGTCTATAATGGACATAGGTAGACACAGACAGACAGACAGACAGAAACAATTTTTGTGTTTTATACCTCTACTATTTATTAGTAACAGAAAATTACTACCCACAAAAATACATAACTATTTACCTATTTATTATTTTGTTTTTAATTATAATAATATTCCTATTCTATGGTAGGTATATGCATAATAAGTACCTATATAAAACACAGTCATTTGATTTGTTATACAAAAGACAACTTGGCAACGCAGTCTAGCAAATACGCCTGCATTTGGTGCCTCAATTTAATTTAATCGCACACCGACCTTGGTTTTTAGTGCGTTTGCAGCATTCCTTAAATATTTGGGATTTATTGAAGGATATTTTCTGTGAGTTGTATCTTTTCCTATTACTATATTTTATTTGATAATTTAATTGCTCTCCGTTCATGCCTTAATCATGGCGGGGGGCAATAATCATAAAGAGGGTAAACCACCCCCTGATAAAAATAATATTAAAGTAGTCGATCTCACATACAATGATATGATGATAAATGAAGATGATTCCATAGAAAATAATATTAATTCTCAAACTCAACATGATAAACAGATTTCAGATAGATTAAATAGAATTGATTTGAAAAATAGATATAAAACAAATAGTAACGGTCCATTTTCAGTTTTTGTGGAGCATAAATATTTAAATTTTGGTAGATTGCATCCTCTCAAAATTGGTGAAAAATTATTCAATCTGAATGGCGATGAAAATGATATTGATTTCTTGCACACAGTTGGTCGAAATAGGGTCCAGATTATGTGTAAATCCGCTATAGGTGCCAACAAAATAGTTGAAAATCAGGTATTTGAAAGTAACAATCTTATTGCATATATTCCCTCTCATCTTACTCAAAAAAAAGGCCTTATCCGTAATGTTGATACATCTTTCTCAGAGGAAGAAATTTTGAAAATTCTGAAGTCGTCAGTTCCAATTAAGGCAGTGCAGAGGAGATTTAAATTTGTTCTCGATAAGGATGGCAATAAAGTAAAAGTTCCTAGACAGCAGATTATTGT